AAAATAATCAGCTACATCATTGACTTCATCCAAGTGTTTATAGGCATCTTCGTGGTCGTTTCCGTAGAAGGGGATCTCCTTGAGTTGAGCAAGTATGTGACCTTTAAGCTCAAAAGTGGCAGTCGCAGGAATTGCGGGTTGCACAAGTCCCGGGCCGGTATCATCTCGTATCCTCTTCTTCCATTCGCCCATGGGAACTTCATCGATGTTCGCCATGGTGTTGTCAAAGTCACCTTCTAGATCTCTACCTTCTTCAAATTCGCTTTCTTCCCTTTCGGACTCGTTCATGATGTCTTCCTTGATTGGGTCTTCGTTTGCCAAGGAAGAGGTGCTGGATGCTCCTGATTTGCTGCTCTTTTTCTTGCTAAAAACGGATTTGAGATTCTTCAAAGGTGAGTTCTTTGAAGAAGCGGATTCTCCAACGGCTTCTCCTTTGTTCTTCTTTAGAGTGGACTCCGGCTTTTCAAGTGGAGGAACCAAAGACGTATTGGATCCTCGGGTCATGTAACAACTGAAACCAAGGTAAGAAAAACGCGTAAAAAGAACAAAAAGAAAATAAAAATAAAAACTGTGAAACAGCGATGGGCTCGCCGAGTAGCGTCGACTGCACTTGGCGAGTTCAAGGCAGAAACAGAAAAAAATTCTAATTAAATTTCTAAAACAGAAAACTATGAAAACTAATCCTAATAACTAAATTACCTAAAAATAACTTTGTGCAAGATAAATCTCACACAAAAGATCGATAAAACTAGAAATTAGTGCTAATTTTTGAACCGATCCCCGGCAACGACGCCAAAAACTTGATGTGTGTGTAAACTCAACTAGTTTTAATCCTACTTTTAATTATAAAATTGACACACAAAGGCAGTGGACCTATCAATTGTGGTGTAGCTAAATAAGTAGGGTATCGAACTCAGGGAACGAAAAATTAAAACTAAAAACTAGAATTAACTAAAACAAGTAATAGAAAATAGGGGTTTCTCTAGTTTTGCAAGACTAGAAACTTAACTAAAACTTAACTACTCAACTAAAACCTGAAAACACGTAAAAACAAACTAAATTCAATGATCAAAAAGGGTTTCTGTTTTGGTTCGACTTATTTACTCCTATGGTTAATTTTTATGATAATATAATAGATTAATTGTTATTGGTTACCGACTCTGGTGATTAGATTCGCATTCGCTATTACTAATCCTTAGAAAACATACCAATTCAATCAATGGCCAGTTGATTAAACTAATAGATTTACTAGGTTAATTATTCGGGTTAAATAAGACTTGTAGCTAGCTAATTAAATTTGGTGATTCAATTAACCTCTTGTTGATGGTGTATCACACAAGCTCACACATTAATTTACCCATTCTCTAATTAATCCTAGTTTCATGTTCATTATTCCTAGGCATATAGTATTGTGTTCACATAAATTATATGAGATAAGCAATTAAGAGATGTTCATGCAGCTTAATCACTTAGCAATTAACAGAAAATAGTTATGGTTAATGCATAAGGGTCTTTAACAAGCTTAACTTAACAATATCACCAACTAACAATTAATCAAAAGAGTAAATTAAACCATAGGAGCAAACTTGTCTTCCCCAAACAGAAACTAACGAAATTAGTTCATGATTTCAGTGTATGAAAGCTTAAAAACGAATTCAAATAAACCTAACATAATTCTATTCAAGGGTAAAGTGGAAAATTAAACCTAAAGTGCCTTAATCTCTTAAGAATGAAGGATTAGGGTTCTTCGACGTTTTCCAGAGCTCCAAGGGCTTCCTTGATCGCCAAGTGTTTCCACCAAAAATCCAGAGAGTCCTCAATTCGGGTTTGTGAAGTCTATTTATAGTTTTCTCAAAACAGGAGCTACTCGCCGAGTAGATAACTGACTCGTCGAGTCCTCCTTGAGGAATCCGTATACGGCAAGGACTCGACGTATTGCTTCGCGAACCTTTGTGTCTACTCGTCGAGTAGACGACCCTACTCGCCGAGTAGCTTCAGAATTAAGCCTTTTTCTTCTTTCTTTCGTTCCCGAGCCTTCGTTCATATCTCCTGCTTCCTTTTGCTTCCGAGCTTCTTTTTTGGACTGAAAATATAATTTGAACAATATTAAGTATCTTTTGTCCATAATATGCAATTAATTAGCCAATAAATGATAAAAATCCAACATAAAAATATAGCTAAATATACAAATATCAACAGGTTTTAAATTGTATATGTATTTTTATCTACAAATATGTTGCGTATAACATGGGTAGATGAAATAGTTGATATGTGATGAAACAAAATGATGAGAGGTCTCGATGTTGACGATGTTCCAGTCATCTAGCGGAATATAGATGACGACCACAGACTTTTCTAGACAGTCCAGTGGAACGTTAACAGACTCGTAACATGTAGGTGTTTTTCGAGAGTATGGATTAGACTTATTCAATTGTCTTCAGTCCGAGAGTATGGATAGTACATAGTTATTTATTATTAATCCTGGAGTATGGATTAAGATATAAGTTACTTGTTATTAATCCGGGAGTATAGATTAAGACATGGTTAATTGTCCCTAGTCCGAGAGTATGGAATGGGCACAATTATTGATCCGGGAGTATGGATCAGACATACCCGATCCGGGAGTATGGATTAGGTAAAGAGGTAAATTTTCGATCCGGGAGTATGAATTAGGTAAATAGGTTTATTTTAGATCTGAGAGTATAGATCGTGTCGTTGTGAGGATCGATAGGGTGGGGAAATAAAGAGGATAATGGGGATGAGAAATTGGGTTGATTGTTTGATGTTTAAACATAATAATTTATTTGTTGTGGGTTGAAAACCCTATATGCTCACCAGGCTCCCAAGCCTGACCCACTCAACTTTCTGTATTACAGGTAGTGGAACAAGAGCATAGTTGGATGATGACGAGGGATTTTGGATTATAGGCCAGTAGATGTAAATAAATGTTGTAAGACCTCTATTGTATAGTTTATGCTTTTGGTCTGTATCGGAACATGACATCCCGAGGTTTTGTAATAAAATGAAAATACATTTCTTTAAGAAATGCTTTGATAAATTTTATCATATTCTGTTTTGGGAACAAATTCCGCATCACTTTTATTTGAAAGATTACTCTGATTTTATTATAAAAGTATAAACGAAATCGGTCTTTTCTGACCGTGAAAATGGGGATGTCACAGATAAACAAATAGACATTTACTCATCTATGTAAGAAAGAGGTAGAAAACAATTTGTGGGTTTTTTGTGCCATGTACAAAGAACATGACAGAAGTTGAAAATGGAAATAAAACTCACATGTTGAAGAAGATATTCATCTTGAAGCTTATCTTCATTTTTTTCAGTGCTAGAAGCAGACATATTTATCTTAGAGAGCCTAATGTGAAGCCTTTTAGGCGATTGGGGGCTTAGGTGTTAATTAGAGCACCAAATGTGAATCTGATTGCCAATTGAAACTATTTGTATTACAACTATTTTCAGAATTTGAATATGGTGTAAGTAGAAATTTTTTGGGTGCATTATTGTTCAGTTTTTCGGTAATCTTTTTCCCAGTCAAGTTGCAAATATGATAAGAGAACTCATGGAAAGAATTTTTCAAGCTTCATTCTTATTTTGTAATTCTTTTTCCCTTATTTGTATTATGTCATTCTTTTCAACTTTTGTTTTGTAATTCTTTGTAACCTATTGTTTTTGGTCTGTTGCCACATGATGTTTGCTATGATTTTTGTCTATAATTTTGATGATGGTTGCGGTGGAGGGCGACAAGTAAAAAGGAGAGGAAGGGGTGAGGTAGGTGTTGAGGGAGGCCCTATGATATAATATCAATATATATTATAAAAAAGTAAAAGTTAAACATAAAGAATATTATACAATGGTAAAAATGATATTTTACATGGCTTTGAGACCAACAAAGTAAGATTTTATAACCATAAGGATCAGTGGTGAAGCATTTTTTATAGTTGTTTTTAGAGTAAGGTGGTGTTTGTTTTTTAGAAAAACTACTTCTGACCACTTTTTGCTGTGCCGCGCAGCACACGCACAACACTTGGCTTTTCGAAACTGGTTGTTTTTTAGAAGACTTTTAATTCAAAAAATGTTGCGCATGTGCTGCGTAGCGCAATAATGGATCATCATTTTCAAACCACTCCTCACTTACTTTAAGTTATATTATTCAACTTATATTTATTTTATTTTATTCTTATCACATGTTTATTATTTTAATAATATTTGAAGAATATGCAAACATTTGGAGTATATTTTACATAAATTCAAATAATTTAAAATCGCTTGGTAAATTTCATATAAATATTTTTTGTGTTATATTGTCTATAACCAAATATTAATAGATTATAAAGTTAATCATTAAATTACCAAATTTATTGAAGTTTACTGGAAAAATAATCATCATCTTCAAAATTTTAACAAAAATGAACATGTTTTTAGCTAAATTAACAATTTTATTTATTGTTATTTAGCAAATATTATGTTTAATTTTTTTATATAAACCTCTTTAAAAAAATATTATGTTTAATTTTTTATTTATTGTTATTTAGCAAATATTATATTTAATTTTTTATTTATTGTTATTTAACAATTTTATATTATTTGCATATAATTACACTAAATATTTTTTTTATTTGGATTTAATTTTAACTATTGTATAGTTAATTTCAATTTATTAAGCGATTTGTAAAGATTTAAAAACAATCAATTACATATTGTAGGTTGCAGATATGTCACGCATAATTCAACAGTTTTTGTTTCGAAAAATGTAACAGCCAAGACTTTTAGAATTGGGCTTATGGTTTTCTTAAATACAAAGTAAAAGTGTTACGGGGAAGAAGAAACGAAAACGGAAAACATGAAAAGAAAATACTAACCATTCTCCACCATTTGCGCTCTTCTTCTCCACTTCCAAAATCATACGTCCATCTGCAACAATCACTCCCCTGTTTTCATTCCATTTCTCCAAATCACAATCAACAATCCTTCTTCCTCCAATGGAAGATCAAGATCTACCACCGCCGGACGCCGCCGAAGAAACCACACAAGTCGACGAGGAACCAACATCGATCGCTTCCCGAGATGATAGACTCTCCCAAGAGATTGACCGATTCATTTCTGTATTAGATGCCGATGATCAATCGGACTCATCGTCGCCACCTGAAATCGTGGGTGCCGTTCAAATTTTTTCTGATCTTTTGGATTTTAGGGTGGTTGAATACGAATCTGGTTCCAAACAATGGACCCAATTAGAGGAGGATGAATGTTCTTCTTTTGTAGATACGGTTAATCGAACAGCCAAGCTTCTCAAGTCTCTCTCTAGATTTCATTCCGTAGAATATTACGCCGCTTTAATCAACAGGGTTAGCGGAATTCAGCAACGTGCAATGTCGTTCATGGAGGTTGAATTCAAGTCGATTCTCGATGATTATCAAACTTCATACGATCGAGATCATACGAATGAAATCGAAGAAGCCAAAACCAAACAGCTATCGTCTTCTCCTAGCAATGTTCAAGACGCATCAGAAACGGATTCGCCGGATCAATCCGAATCTCCCCCGGAGAAAGATGAGTTTTTAGGATATTCCGACGAGATGATATCAAAGCTGAATAAATTATCCAAGGGGTTAATAGCAGGAGGTCACGAAACAGAGTGTACCGAATTGTATTTCTTTGTTCGAAGAAACGCCATGGAACAAAACTTGAAGCTTTTACAGTTTGAAAAATTCTCCATCGACGAAATGCAGAAGATGCAGTGGGATCCGGTAGAGAAAGAGATTTCAGAATGGTTGAAGATGTTCAAAAACTTCGCCACCTCGCTCCTCCCTAGCGAGCGGAGGTTAGTGGACGCCGTGTTCTCGGAAAACAACACAGAAATCTCCGATAACTTATTTGGAAACCTAGCACGAATTGTCCTCTTTTACTTGCTCACTTTCGCGGAAGCGGTGATGATGACGAAGAGATCCGCTGAGAAACTGTTCAAGTTTCTTGATATTTACGAGACATTACGAGAAAGCATCCCGGAGTTGGAGAAACTACTTTCCGGCGACTGGTTATTCCAGCTCAAAACCGCAGCATCATTGATCAGTAACATGTTAGGAGAAGCCATTTTCAACATTTTAGGAGATCTTGAGAATTCGATCCAAGCAGATACAGGGAAAACACAGGTTCCCGGTGGAGGAGTGCACCCGTTAACTTGCTACACCATGACATATCTAAAACACGCATGCGAGTATAGGGACACATTGGAGCAAGTATTTAGAGAGCATAAAAAGATAGATCGACCGGACTCAGCCACCGGCTCCGATCACGATCCAGATTCCGATCACGATCCCGGTTCTCAAGATCAGAACTTTTGCTTTCAAGCGGGTCCCGGATCGGCGTTTCAGTTGCAGTTAGCGAAAGTGATGGATCTATTGGATGCGAACCTGGAAGTGAAATCAAGACTGTATAAAGATCCATCGTTGAGCTTGATTTTCTTGATGAACAACGGCCGGTTTATATTGCAGCAGACAAAGGGAACCGGAGAAATGAGGAGCTTGATGGGGGATCCATGGGTGAGGAAACGGTCGTCGGATTTAAGAAGCTACCACACGAACTACAAGAGAGAAACATGGACGAAGCTTTTACAGTGTTTGAGTCATGAAGGATTGAGCGTTAATGGGAAGGTGATGAAGCCTGTATTGAAAGAAAGATTCAAGAGTTTCAACGCCATGTTCGATGAGATACACAGAACGCAAACGACATGGGTGGTGAGTGACGATCAACTTCAGTCGGAATTAAGGGTGTCGATATCGGCGATAGTAATTCCGGCGTATAGGTCGTTCATGGGGAGGTTCAGTCAGGTGTTTACTCCGGGAAGGCAAACGGAGAAATATATAAAGTATCAACCAGAAGACATAGAAACATGCATTGAAGAGCTGTTTGATGGGAGTGCAAATCAACCGGGGAAGAAGAGATAATAAATTATGATCAAGTACGTACATACGAAATATGAATGACTCATATGATTAAATCAGGAAACGTGTAAAGAATCTACCACCATTAATGAGGTTTTTGGTCCACACCATCATCACCTTTAGAGACGAGCATGCATATTGCATGTACTGATTTGAAACCTGCTTGTATCTAACTTATGTTTTTCTTTCATTGTGCAATTATCGAGTTCTTTCTATTTGTTCTGAATGTGATTTTGGTTAATAGTCTTATTTCTCTTTATTGATGGACCATTTAAAAGACAGTCATAATGATTGTAACTAATTAAAAAAATAATGGTCGTAACTTGTTAAAAAAAATGTTATTGTTTAGACTAAATTTCAGAATGGTCCCTATGGTTAGCGAATATCGCAATTTCAGTCCCAAGTTTTCTGTTTGTACGATCTGGTACCTATGGTTTCTATTTTTTCAATATTGGTCCTGAGCATACACGACGTCTAACTTGAGCCGTTAACTTATCACATGTGAGATGCTCATGAGGGTAATATTGTCCTAAATGGTTTCTCTCTCCATAGGGAAGAAGTTAATATTAGGGGAATCCATTTCTCTCTCAAAAATGAAAATCCACCATTGGCCGCGAACATTACACTCATAAAACCTGTGATCGGTTGGTCTTCGAATCAATCTAACAATGCTAAAAACCTTAGACGTATAGTTTGTTATCATAGATGAAGCTCGGTTGGTACGAGAGTACCAGAGAAAATCGTTTTCTATAGTCGTGGAATACCAACACTGATTTGTGAATCAACTTTCTTTTAGTTCATATCTACAACAATCTGTTGAACAATGTCATGGTGTGGTGTAGGTTGGGTTGAATTCTTCATGAACAATGTATGTTGATTAGATGTAAAAATTAAGCGAAATAATATGGAGGTGGGAAGATATATTTATATTCATTATGTAACGTTCATGTTTTCATATCAGATACACTCAAAAATTTCTCTTTAATCATTTAAATTTATATATAAAAAACAATCTTGGTGTACACTGGCACACTAGCATACAAGAAGTTATCATAAGGATCGTACTGACCTCAGGATCGAGCCAGACGTCACAATAATCTACCTGCAAAACAGATCATCATAAAAACGTAAGACTCGCGACTTGGTGAATAACAGTTACAATAACATAAATCACATAGATCACATCAATCATATAAATCATGTATATCACATACATATCGCAAATTTAATATAATCAGTTTCTTAGAAATGATCTATCTCTCAGTATGATCTACCTCTCGGTGATGATCTATCTCTATCTCTCTCTCTCTCTCTCTCTCTCTCTCAATCAATGATTTATCTCATCAAGAATCTATCTTATCACAGATCTATCCCATTAATGATCCATCTCATCAATCATATTCTATCACTCAATAAAAATCTATAACATTCGTTTTTCTAGGTATTTTCCATTCTTGGCTCAAAATAAATAATCTTTGCAAATATGGTCCTTACGTTGGGCGTACATGGAGTGTACGCCTAAGTCACTAATTTTGGATGTGGACTTGTCGAGTACGCTGGTCGTACGTGAGGAGTGTGCACGGTGTACTCATGCAGAACCCAAACCCTAAATTTTAGGGTTGAGCCCCTATTTAAGGACCTTAAGTCCCCTGAGGCCTCTCCATATTCAGCCTCCATCCTCCCTAACAGTGTTTCGAAACCCTAATCCTTGATTAGCTTGTGTAGGCCTCTTTTGTGTGTTCTTGGTGCATAGTGAATGAGTAGACGTTTTTCCTTGAGGATTGTTCTGGCTAGAGCTTGAAGATCCAGGGCCTTCATCACCTTTGCAAGCTTTTGGAGGTATAAAGCTCTTACCTTTATGGCTATATGGCTTATTTAGACTAGCTTTGAGATTTGCATGCTTTTGGTCACATGGTTTGGTTCTTGTGAGTAAAAGCTACTCCAGAGCTCAAGTTTGTCACTTTATGTTGTTTTTTAGGATCGTGTGTCATAAAGATGTAGTCTTTGTTGCTATTTCTCACTCATGCAAGAGTTTGAGGTTATTAAAGAGTATTATGGACTTAGGGTTTGGTTTTGGGCTCTATTAATGTTACACCCCCAAACCAGAACGACGAAAACGTCTGGGGGTGGATGACCTTCATGTATAGTATCATAACAAGTGAATAATAGTTATCAAAGCATTACAACCATCATATTGATAAATAATAAGTTTACATTGTATCCAAAACATTGTTTACTTGATACCATATACATATGACAAAAATAAATGACGTGACGCTGCGACGTCCCATCCTCAAACCCGTTTCGGTTACCTGTCTACGGATTTCCTAAGAATACAAGTGATTTTGAAAAGTGTCAACAATTAAGTTGGTGAGTTCATAAGCGTTTTGTATGAGATGGATTGGTAACTTTTCTGTGTAAAAATGATAGTAAGTACTTTCAGAAAATCCAATATGTTCTTTAAAAATGAGTTGTAAGTCTTAAATCCAAAGACTAAAAATGTAAGTAATGCTATACTGGGAAATAATATTATGAAGTTTTATCTTTATATAAAACTACTTGAATGTATGTTAACCCCGTAAACCAAATGTTTTGTTAATACCCCATGTGAGTTATCATAACCATGTTAGCGACTAGTTGGCCTGCTACGACGTTCTTCAGGCGTCGGAACTGTTAGACATTTGTCACCCTAGACTGGCTGGTCTAACTGTAGCTAACAACTTAGGTGTGGGGTTTTCAATCCCGTATAAAAGTGTCACGCTCTCCCTACAAGAGACCCTGGTTATAATTCAGGACTTAGTGTGTACTCTTGTAGGTACGATGAAGCCAAATGTCTCACAAAATTGTATTAACCGGTTTACGTATAGTGTACTGAAAACCCTTTTTCTTGTAAATGAATGCATTACTTTTCCATAGTGGTTACATAGTGTAAAAATAATTATACCTTTAAATAATTATTTGTTTCTTCCGAAATGATAATGTAGTGTTTGTGACTCCCAAACTATACTAATTATAGTTTATTATGATTGTTTGTCAAGACTATTTATATAATCATTTATATAAATACATAGTAATTATCTTGTCTAGATGCTTTTAAAAGATTATGTCATAAAAACTTACATCTAACACAAATATGAGAAATTTGTATGAAAAAGTCCATTTCGAGCTTTTGCCTCGTTTTTTTTAACGGTGTTTTTGTCTAGCTTCAAAATGTATGGTCAAAACTACATATTTTGGGTTGTATCCCCCAAAAATGGTGAAACAACTAGAATGTAACTATTTTTGTTAGAAAAACCATATCTTGGTAAAAAGTCTCAAAATTCCTTGTAGCTTTGTGGTTTTCACCTTTTACTAAAGAACATATAACATAGTTTATGTTTGTTTTTCTTAGTTTTATATCATTAAAACTATCATACCACAAATAAATGTTTTAAAAACTAGTAATACTCATATTTTATTGTAAGGGTCGAATTTAGTTGTAATATGTCGAAGTCTTTTGTACCCTTCGTATGTTTGTTAAGTTTATTTACTAAGGTGTATTTCGTACGAAGCTTAAGTGTCAATGCCTTAGTATTTTTTGTATGCTTTCACTGTTCCTATAAATATGGAACTTTACTAGAGTTAGATAAGAGTCCTTTACAGAACCTATCTATTTTTCTCTGTAAACGTTGAAAGCATAAATGAGCAGAAACCAGATCTTATTTACATCTTTTGTTCAATCTGCATTTGTTTTACTTTGATATTGATTAATACTTGATTCCACGATTCATCAATTGGTATCAGAGCAGGAATCATGATCTGAGATCTAATTTTCACTCTGTTTCAAAAGGTTTTTGAATCAAAATTCTGGTTCAAAAAGTTCCGCATCTTTTGACGTGAAAAAGCTTTTTAGATCTTAAGTTGTGATTTGATTCTGCAACAGATTTTTTGAATCGAGTATTCTACTTTGTTTTTCTGATCAATTCAGCAATTTGCTTTCAAATTCTCTTTGATTTCTCAAAAAATTCTCAAAAATTTTCTTCCGTACATCAATGGCGAACTTCAATCTCAACTCGATGACTTCATACTCTCATCTGCTAGGATCTTCAACTAAGATTCCTATGCTCATTCCTGAATACTATGATCAGTGGTCTGACCGTATGCAGGATTACTTGAATGGAATCGATGAAGAGCTTTGGTCTTGCATCTCAGGGAATGTTACTCTTCCAACGAACCTTCAACCAGTTGGATCGTCATCTAGTACTACGATTGTGGAAAATCAAACTGATCGAATGAAGAAACTTGAAAAACGATGCATAAGGGAGTTGCGTGGTGCATTGCCTCCAGTGGTGTATAACTATGTCAGAAGTTGTACAACTGCAAAGGAAATCTGGAATAATCTCAAAGAAAAGTTTCAAGGCAGCGAGAAGACGAAAATCAATTCAATTAAACAATGTTTGATTGAATTGAAGGATTTCAAGCAAAAAGATGGTGAAACGATTGAAAGTTACTATGATAGGCTGAACGAGCTGATTTACAAATGCAATCGTTATGGAATCTCAAGGTCTGCCATGGAATTCAATCTCACCTTTGTTATGGGACTCCGTAAAGAATGGAGAAGTGTTAGCATGATGGTGAAAAATCAACAGAGTTTCGACACATCTTCTTTGAATGATTTGTACAATCAATTGAAAACTCACGAAAGTGAAGTGAACAAAATGGTAGAAGAGTCGAAGCTTAGTCTGGGAGGTCCACTGGCACTTGTCTCTAAAGTATCTGAAAAGGAAATAGTCGAAAAAGGTGATTATGATGAAGAAGAGGGATTTCTCATGAATTCGGATGATGAGGCAATTGCTTTTTACTCAAACAATCGAGTCAAAAAGTTTTTCAAGAAGCCGTTTAATTCAAAGACGAAGCAAAGTGAGGGAAAAAGGAAGTTTCGTGAACAAGTCTGCAGGAGAAGAGAAGAAGAAGTATGAGAAGAATGATGTGAAAGGTGCTGATGAGAAGAAAGAGAAGAAATT